GGTCGAATGGTCGCAGTGGGCACGGTAACGGCTGCATTGTGCAGTAAGACAGCTAGGATTGTGCTTGCGGTGTTGGCACTCTGTGCAAGATCGAATGTACTTTTGAACGAATCTGTACATGCCGGGCCAATAAAAGCGAAAACGTAGCCTGGCATAGGTTTTAAACAAACCTGCGTGTGCACACTGTGGATTGGCATGAAAAGCAGCACATATGCTGGCACGGAGATGCCTGGGCATGACGAGTAGCCATTTGCGGCTGTCTGGGTGGTAGTTGCGGCGATAAAGTATTCCATCGCAGATGGCGAAGTAAGAGGCTTGTCGGTGTAGCACTCGAGATGGCGGGTGGGCGAGCGTTTCAGATAGGTAATCCATCAGAGTCGCAATCCACGAATCTTTGCTCTGCTCCGCAGCCATGTTGATGGGTCCTGATAGTGGAAGGAAGTTGTCTTGTATGGAGACACTCGCAATATCAGTAGAAACAGGTCAACGCGAAAGATCGTCGGCATCGGCGTGCTTCTGACCTGAGCGATAAACAACACGGATGTCGTACTCTTGGAGCCGTAAAGCCCATCGTTCCAAGCATCAGGAGGGATCTGGTAGGCGGTAACAACATCGAAAGGGCGGCCGTACAGATGAGGCCGAAATTTCGTAATGGCCAAGATAATCGCTAGGCATTCTTTCTCTGTTACCAAATAATTTGCTTCTGTTCTTGTAGGAGTGCGGCTCGCGTTCGCAACAACATATTCTTGGTAACCAGGCTTTCATCGGGCGAGTACAGCGCCAAGACCGACACCACTAGCATCTGTGTGGATTTCTGTGGGAGCGCTTGAATCGAAATGACGCAGTATGGGTGGTGTTGTAAGCAGTTCACGGAGCTTCGCAAAGGCACTGTCGCAGGCCGGAGACCACGCAGGTAGATTGTGGTCACCCTGAAGTAGGTCTGTCAGAGGCGCCATGATTGAGGCGAAATCCCGTACGAAGCGGCGGAAGTATGAGCAAAGCCCAACGAAACTACGTAGCTGCTTGAGAGACGCGGGCCTCGGGAACTCGCGAACAGCACGTAGCTTAGCGGGGTACAGGAAGAACGCCATCCTTCGACACGACGTTTCCGAGAATGGTCAGTTTGCGTGCTCCAAAGTGACACTTCTTCAAGTTGAGTTGGAGGCCTGCTGCAGAGAGGCAGCGTAGGACCTGTTCCAAGCGACGAAGGTGCGTGGGAAAATCGGTCTAGAATACCACTACATCGTCTAAGTAGAACAAACACGTGTTCCATTTGAGGCCTCGTAGGATAGTGTCCATAATGCGCTCAAATGTTGCCGGCGCATTGCATAGGCCGAATGGCATCACGTTAAGTTCGTATAAGCCGTCTGGTGTAACAAAGGCAGTTTTTGGCCTATCATCTCGATTCGTGGGCACTTGCCAGTACCCAGAGCGTAGACCAAGGGAAGAAAAGAACTCTGCGCCTTGTAAAGAGTCGAGGGCGTCATTGATTCTAGGCAAAGAATAAACATCCTTTCGTGTTATTTTGTTTAGACGACGATAATCTACGCAAAAGCGTGTCTTGCCATCCTTTTTTTAACTAAAACAACCGGTGGCGCACAAGAACTGATAGTTGAACGACGCCTCACCTACTTGTTTATCGATGACACGGAGTTCATTCGGTGAAACACGGTATGGTATGGTCGCTGCCGTAGTGGTGGGTGATTACCTGTTTCGATCTGGTGGCATACGGTAGATGTTCGACCCAAAGTAGTGCTGTGACTGTCAAAAGATGGCGCAACTTGTCAAGGAGGCTCAAAAGCTCACACTTCTGCTGTGGGTTTAGGCCTTCGTTGATGACATGGTTAAAAATGTCGGTAGTGGAAGGATCATTCACGGAACTGCAGGAGAGGGCGCTGACTTTCGTTGATCCATCGGGAATGTCAAGTGTAGCGATGATTTCGAATGATTCTATCGAACCGATACATTCGCCTCGAAGCAGCGTAATCGTGAATGGGAACAGATTCTCCACAGGCACGTTGGTCGCATCACCTTGAGGATTAAAGAGAGTGGTTGGGAGCGGTGATAAGTGGCGATGAACAAAAGCAGCGGAAGGCTGAAGAATGAGGTTGCATCGAAGACGGCGGAACACGACACAGGTGCGAAGACAGTAGCGCGTGGAGGGATCTGGATGTCGTCACTAATGACCAACTTCGCGTAGGAAGGGCGATCGTGCGCTGGTAGCGCATCACCAAGGGGACAAAAGACGACTTCGGCACGGGCGCAATCGATGACGGCTTGGTGATGGGAGAGAAAATCCCTCCCTAATATGATGTCATGAGAACAGTGCTGGAGTACTACGAACTGCACTGTGTAGGACATTCCTTGAATTACAAGTCTGGCAGTACACGCGGCCACAGGCTGCATAGGCTGTGCAGTGGCAGTATGAAGACATGAACCCAAGTAAGGCGTTATCACTTTTCGTATTGAACGGCAAACTTTTTCGGCGATGACAGCAATTGCAGCACCAGTATCAATAAGGGCAAGTACGGGTACACCTTCAAGAACGGCATTGATTACATTCGGCGTCGAACGAAGAGGGCTTGTGCTTTGCAACGAGGACGCAGTTCTTGCCTCGGGAACTGCGTCATTTAGTTTCCCGCGTCGATTGTAGGGGGCGTCGGCGCATCGGGGAGGGCGAGCGTCGACGTGGAGAAGGAGATCGGCGATCAGGAGCTGGTTGGTGGCTTGGTCGAGGAGCGTACAATTCGGGGTCTGGAATGTAGGGAGCGTACGTGTAATCGTTCGCATATGGACGTGGGTTTTCACGTGAGTGGAGTGGGCGGTGGTGGCACAGACGTGCGACGTGTCCAGGTAGACCACACGAGAAGCAGATCGCTCAGTTGTCGGCAGTGCGCCATGGATTATGGACTCGGCGGACTGGAAGTCGTGGCGTCTGGGTGGCATAAACAGGAGCAGGCAGTGGAGGCGGCACTTGGAACGTCTGTGGTCGTAGTCGTGCTGCTGCTTCGGCGAACGTCAATGGTGCATTGACTGGTGACACCAGCTGCGGAGGAAGGACCTCAGACACTTGATCTTGTATAATAGTCCGTAGTGTAGGGCTAAGCGGCGCACTGCACTCCGGTAGGCCGGAGATGAGCGAGAGTTGGCGGGCAACTTCTTCGCGCACGAAATCTTTGATCTGCGAGAGGAGGACGGGGCTTGTGAGGGAGTTAAGCCGGACATCGATTCCTGATGTGGGACAGCACGGCAGGTGACGTGAAGTTGCAGGCGGAGCTCGTCATAGCTTTGGCAGAGCTCGGTAACTTGGGTGACAGTAGCAGGGCCTTTTGAAATGAGCATCTGGAAGGTGTCCTCGTCGATACCCTTAACAATAAGTTTGATCCGGTCCACCTCTGCCATGTTCGCATCGACGCGTTTGCACAAGTCAATGACATCTTCTATGTAACTTTTGAAATTCTCACCAGGCAGTTGAGATCTCGACTGAAGGCGCTGCTCCGCAAGAAGTTTGCGGACAGCAGGACGACCAAAGACTTCGCTGAACTTTGCCTTGAATGCTGTCCAGGTGGGAATAAACGTCGGTCTCATGGTTCCGAAGCCACAAGTGGGCAATGCCACTGAGGTAAATGCCAACAGTGGCCAGTCTCGTAGCTTCGTCCCATTTGTTCAAGACACTCACGAGTTCGTCAATAGCAAGCCAATCGTCGACGTCGTGATCGTCAGTGCCGCTGAATATGGGAGGATCCCGTGAAGGACTGCGGCAGAGCACACGATGGCCTGGGGAGCCATGGGTGGAGGGCTTGTGGCAGATGCAGTGGTGTTGACGGCAGGTCGAGTCCGGCTTCGCAACTCCAGAATTGCAAGGAGACCAAGCAAACTCCACCAATTATAATAAAGAACTGAGACAGTCAGAACTGTTATTCGAGACCAGGTAGGAGCGTAGGACTAGCCAGCGAAATCAGCGACAACGTCCGGGCCAAGCGTCTCGTGCTTAGCACTGACAATGTGTTTGCCGAGCTTTGCATGACCCACTACATTCATCATTACAATCACTTTTTGAGGGTATTTCATAAAAAATGTGGAGTACAGTTATTGGGTGATAATTGCTGAAGTTGTTTTTATAGCTTAGCTCATATATATCACTAACTTATTCTAATTGCGTGTTGATTGGATAAAGACCTGCTGATAGTACTAAATTGTGCAGGTCTGTTAGCACTATAGGATTAGATTCATTATTTTTAAGGCCTTAGGTATATCTTACCACCTTCAGAACCTTCTACTCAAGAGGTAGCTGATGGGGGTCTAAAGATTGCTGGATAATTATTGAAAGTAGAACGCATGATTGTGCAACAATATTTTGAGAAATTTAGGAGTACATAGATCATCAGCAAAAGTAAAGGAATCTCCCCACCTTAGAATACATTTCTTACCACAAGTGGTTAAACGATAATAATGTTTCTAGGGTAGTCATTACATCACTCAAAAAATGTTGGAAACATAGGACAGTAAGGTACGACGCAGTTGTTCCATAAAAAAGAATTCAGAACCCGGTGACATCATTTGGATGGCGATCAACAACTATAATCAGTCGATGTGCTGGGATCATAACTGGAGGTGTTCATAGCGCGTGAGAACCGTGTGATCGTGGAATATCGTATTGGAAAATGTTATCGAACTAATATAGATACTGTTTATCTGCTTACAAGTGCCCCAGATCTAAACGAAAGCACTTTATTCGATACAGCTGCTTTTTTTTTTGTTGGGAAACCATTTAACGTAGCTTTCAGTTAAGGTTCCTGAACAATAACTGATAACGCGCTCGATCGAATCAATTTTGGGTGAATTCAAGTATTATGCTTTTGAGAATCATCTAGTTCTCATCAATAGTGGATAATCAAATAGACTGAAAAAGGCATCGAGAAAGAAAGGTACCTAGATCAGTCTAAATATCGTGAAAGTTTTCCTATCACTTCGTTAAGTTAATTTTTCTTTCACAACAGCTAGAAAAGGAAGAACGAAAAACGGAGGTGATCACTTAAGCCTGGTGGGCACGAAGCACTGCATCTCTAGGTGAGAACACATGTGATTTTCTGTCTGCGTCGCTTATTAGAGCAGTTTATTAGGTGGCCCTATCACACTAGAAGTATTTGGTGGCGTATAGAAACACCATGATGATTGTGAAACCGCACTCGACGAGGCGTCACGCGCCCACATAGCATCATGTGGGCGCAGCTCACTTTTATAAAAGTGAACTGCATCATTACCAAGCATAATCACCTTTCGCGTTGTATTGCACAGACTGTAGAGTTTTTTAGAGTACTCTACCGTTGAGCTAGAACTACAATATTGTTTCTTGTTGCACTTGTTACTTTAGTGATGCGTCACGAGTGTGACTCATCCTAAAGAGCAGCGCGGTTATGCGAGAGAAGAACAAACGGTCAGTGCACTGGCTAACAACATGAGCGTTTATTTTGTGTCATCGAGTACATACGTCTTCGAAAGGGGATAAAGAAGGCAAATGAAGGCTATGCGCATGCGTCTTCACTAGTACATAAACTGTGAAGTTCAACCACGAAGACCATTATTCTCCTTGTCGGTTAGTACGATGAACGGTGAGCTTTTACAAGATGGCCCAATGGAATGAATATTGAACGCTTCATATATCTCCAGAGCTCGGAAATCGCAATATCTACGTAAAACGCTTCTGTTCAGAATTCAGAGTGCAACCACATTCGGCAAAGTGAATTGCCAGATTTTTTTCAGTTTTTTTTGGTTTGTTTTTGTGCTTTCGGGGCCGACCAGTTTGAACAGCGTAGCACATACCACAAGACGTCGGTATCTCGTAGACTTTAACTCGATGATTGATTGATTTGTGAGGTTTAACGTCCCAAAACCACGATATGATTCTGAGAGATGCCGTAGTGGAGGGCCCCGTAAATTTCGACCACCTGGGTTTTTTTAACGTGCACCCAAATCTGAGCACACGGGCCTACAACATTTCCGCCTACAGTGGAAATGCAGCCGCCGCTGCCGGGATTCGATCCCGCGACCTGCGGGTCAACAGCCGAGTACCTGAGCAACTAGACCACCGTGGCGGGGCAGACTTTGATTCAGTCTACTACGAAAGAAATTTCATAGGATGCTGCTTCTTGCAAGTGGAAGTGAGGGGCGATCACTTTCTTGCACAGTGACTAAGTTTGACTGGTGCCGAGAACACCAACCTTACGCTAGCACGTGCTGCCGCATTGTGATTTTTTTGCGTGTAATAAACCGTGCAGATAGGGTATGACTGCCACTTCTGCCCTGTTCTCTGCAGCACGGGTTTTTTTTGTGTTTAAATGCTCTTTCAAAATGACCTTGGCCAAACCGGACAGAAACTGGTCAGAAAAGGCTGCCTTCTTCAATCGGCAAACTTGATTGGCTGACATAATCTTACCAGAGCATTCTACATAGCGGAGAGTGCAATACACCGTTTGACAAGCTTAGAATAGATAAAAATGAAAGCAGGTCTTTCATCGAACGAGTTAGGTGCTCTTCATCTTGAGGAGGTCCAAGAAGCGCAGTTGGCCATCCTCCGATGGATCCTTCATAAACGTAAGTCCCGGACAACTACTCTTCTTGGAGCTCAGAAGTAAGTTTGGTGCAGAGCTTATTTGTTGGGAATATACTCATATCGTTATTTCAAAAACATTCTTTCATTTGCCTCTCAGCATTCTAAGCTTGTCAAAGTGGCTATCGCACTTTTCGCTGTGAAGAATGCTCTGGTATAGATCATGTTAGCATCACATCGCGTATAGCTTCGCCAACCAAGTTTGTTGATAGAAGAAGACTGGCTTTTCTGACAAATTCCTATCCGGGTTTGCCAAAGTAAGTTTGAATGAGCACCGCAAGAGGACAGAAAAAAAAACCTGCAGATGACAGTGCAAGAGGGTCAATCATAGCCTACCTGTACGGTGTTTAACACAAGATCAAGAACGCTGCAGCACGTGCTAGTGTAAGGGTCGTAATCTTGGCGCCAGTGAAACTGGTATCACTGTGCGGAAAAGTGAACGCCCTTCGCCCAAGTGCTTCCATTTGCAAAAAGCATCATTCAACAAGATATGTGGCTGTTACGTTGGTCGAATGGGTCGCTGCGTGAACGACCAACTCCTATAGAGCACAAAAATAATCAAAGTGGACGGTTGGGCGAGTTGGTGATACATGATCGAAGTATACTACGCTGCAGAAAAAAATGGACGGGCAAAAGACAAGGACTGCGCTTGTCCTTGTCTTTTTCCCAACCCATGTTTTCAACGTCGAAGTATACTTATACAAAAATAATCTCAAAGACAAAACTGTTAGCAATCTAGAAATTCAGCTAGGTGCCTAGTGTGGATGCACTATAATATTTGGAGGGACGCGCAATTTACGCACATATCGCGATTTCCGAGCCTTGGATATATATGAAGCGTTCAATATCCATTCCGTTCAGCCATCATGTGAAAGCGCACCGTCCATCGTACTAACCGACAAAGATATCATTTATCTACGTGATGAATATTTGCTGTATCGTCTGCTAAATGAGACGCATGTGCAGTGCCGTCTTTTGCCTCCCCCCCCCCTCCCCCAAGGCGTGTATACGTGTTCTCACGAAATAAACGATCATGTTGTTCGTCAGCACTCTGCTCTGTTGCCGTTATTGTTTGGTCATATACCGGGCTGTTCTATTTTTACAATAAATCCATGCACACACCCTAAAATTTTTACACTGTTAAAGTAATGTGATGTGTGTAAACGGATGGTGTCGCTCCGCGAGAGCAAAGTGCATTTTAACACGCCATTGCCATCTTAGTAACGTAAGTCGTCGCATCTCGACACAGTTTTTTTTTTCTGTTTGCATTAGGGGGCGATGGTTAGTAAATTATTCCTTCCATTCAAGTATCATCTTTTTAATTAAGAGTAGATAAAGCTTTCAAAATTATATCGCCGATGCCATTAGATTTTCCGTTATGCTTTTATGTGAATTGCTGTTGCGAATTTTGAGAAGACCTTTCAGAAGCGTAAACAAAAAAAAAGTTCAGCAATAAACGTGACTTTTTGCGTGATAAATTCAGTCGTGCTCAGAATATTTACTCTAGCTTTGAGAGTAAAAACTTGTTTCAGCCTTTTAAATATAATAAATAGGTAAAAAACATTCGAGTAGCGCTGTCATCATTTGTTATGCGGCACCCGTTTTCTTGAACAGTGGTGTTAGAGGCTGTAGGAGCCTGCGGTGGCTGCATTTTCGATGGAAACGAAAATGCTGTAGGCCCGTCTGCTTAGACTTGGGGGCACGTTAAAGAACCGCAGGTCGTCGGAATATCTGGAGCCCTCCACTACGGCGTCGCTCATAATCGTATGGTGGCGGTTTTGGGACGTGAAACCCCACACACCTATAAATCAAAAAGTTTCAGGAGCATTTAGTTTCAATGCGGGTTTTGAAGATGCCAAACTGAAGCACCGTAGAAAAACTGAATTCCGAAAAAGCAAAGAAGCACATCCATGCGCACTTCTGCGATAACATCACCATAACAATCGACTTGTTGTGTATGCTGTGTCCTGCTATTTTTTATTTATATTGCGCTTTATTGGCGCAAGTGCATCTAAGGCCAAAGAGCACCAGTACACACGTTGTTTCATTTCAGGCTACTAGTCTAAAAATTTAAACAAATGATGTGTAAGAAATATCTATAAGATATTTAAAACAGAGTACGTTCAAAAGGAACGTCTCTTTGTTAAATGCCTTGAATTCGTTGGCTGAAGTCTGTGAAGATAAATGAGTGAGCAAGATATGAGACCCTCACGGCTGAGCAAAAACTGTGAAGGCTCCGACATACTTGTGTTTTTTTCCACCAGACGGTAGGTCACACTTCAGGCCCAGCCTGGTGGCTAGGATAGAATGATATCATTGTCGAAAATTTGACTTTCCCAAGATAATGAACAAGACTTTTGAAGACGAGCATTGCATCGAGTGATAAAAACAGCGTGGATTGAAGTGGAATATAATACCGGTAGAGCTCCCTCAAATGAGGCAGTCACGCTTGGTGAAGCACAGAGCATTGAAAGAAGACATGTAAAACAGTTAGACTCTCTCTACAGTGTATACATGTAGGTGGATGAGTGCCTGTCAAAAGGTCTTTATGTCTGGCATAGGTGTGGCCTATTCTGAGCCGTGTTAGAATCACTTCAGTGAATCTGTTGAAATTGTGTGGGATAACTTTCCATAGTTGGGGCTCTACTAGGTGGAGTTTGTCGTTGACCTGCTTGTCCCATTCATCTTGCCAGTCTTTGCGTAGCCTTCTACGTACAACAGGTCTTAGATCCACACCCGGAACAGTGGTTATCTCTATGGTTTGCCGATCAGTGGCTTCTCGTGCATTCTTGTCTACTATTTTATCGCCCACAATCCCAGAATGTCCTGGCACCCAGCAAATAACAGTAGAAAGTTTTAGGTTATAGGCTGCACAGATTTCATTAAGAAGCTTGTTGGAAGCGAGGCTCTTGCTGTACTTGCCACAAGACAGGGCCGTGACAACACTTGAAGAAAATGTGTTCACTACAGACTTTGGTATCTTGTGTTGTATAGTATGTTGTATAATAATCACGATATCATAGACTTCTGCCGTGAAAATGCTGGTATGTTTATGCATGGTTCTGGTGTCAGAGAATTTTCGTTCGTAGACAGCGCAGCATATAGATGTCGAGACTTTTAGTCATAAGAAAAAAATGCGGCTGAACAATGTGTTCAAGGGCCAAGAAATGTTGCTCGATCAACGCACTTAAGATTTCTTTTTCTTTTTGAGGTCTTTGAAGGACCAGTCGAAAGTGACCGGACACTGCTGCCAGGAGGGAATGTGTTCAGCGTGGTCACTTTCCTGTAAATCATCGAAACAAAATACAAGTTTTTATACTGCAGGTCTTATTGCTAATGGAAACAGTGGGGCGATAGAAGGACGGTTTTGTATAACTGAGTAGTGGACCTATCATTCATGAGTGCTTTGCGTGAGTGCTGTTTCAGGAACGTTATTCTAACTGCATAGGTGTGTCCTAGA